GAAGCAGAGCATGAGTGAGCAGCTGTGAATATTGGGATAGCAAGGGGAAAAACAGAATCATTCTGTGTGCTGGTTACTGCCTTGGCTGTGGGAGGCAGTGTCTCCCGATGAAATGGCCAGGCACTCTGCAACACCTCTCAGGGAAACTGGCCCCTGGAGTCTGCTAGAGGTTTTTTGTCATTGTTGTTTTTAAGGTACTTTTGTTACGGTTCTAAAAATTAGCCCCATTTGAGGAACTGACCATCATTTGAATGTATATATCTGAGCAACTTGTGAGTTTTTCCAACTAAACTGCTCGCCTTAGTTTCAAATCACCACAATTAAAATCTGTTTTCTACAAGCATCTTTGACTGCACTACCTAGTACCAACAGGGTAATTTCAAATTCATCTGAACTTGGATAAATTTGAATAATCATTTCTTGCTTGACTTTTTAACTTTCCAGGTCAAAACCTATTTCTTCGCCAGTGAGTATCCAGTTTGGACACGCAGAGACTCTTCAGCCACTTCTTACACTCATGGGCTATTTTAAAGATAAGGTGCCTCTTAACGCCAGCAACTATTCCAGTCACTTGAATCGCAGGTTCCGTACTGGTCGTATCGTCCCTTATGCTGCCAACTTGTTATTTGTGCTTTATCATTGTGATCAAGCTAGATCTCCTGAGGAAGAGTACAAGGTTCAGATCCTTCTCAACGAGAAGCTCCTGCCCTTTACATACTCAGGGAAAACTGTTTCTTTGTACGCCAAACTGAAAAACCATTATAAAGATTTAATTCAGAATTGTGAGTTTGCTGAAGTGTGCAGTATCTCCAAAAATGGTACTAGCATTAATTCATTATAAAGGGACATCGTAAAAAAGATCATCGATGTTTTTGCGTATGCATGTTTTTGGCAAATTGTATTGTTTTTGGTTTTGCTATTAATTAGAATGGCGTACTGCTGACACCACAGTGTTTTTAAAAAAAACTTCTTAAATGTATGCTTGCAATTTTAAAAAATGGCATCAAACCTGGAGCCTGAAGGAAGGCATACAGAATATTTCTAAAGCTTCAGACAAACTGATGGAGTTGCTCTATTTCTGAAGAGGAACTCTTTCTCCCTTTCCTGAATCATGAATGATTGAAAAGTAAGGATAAGCTGTTCAACATGCAGCTTACTCCATAGCACTGACTGTTGTCTACTGTGAACAGTTTTAGAGTTACTGAAGATGAAAAATGGTTGCTGGAATGCTGACTTGTAAAAAAGGTGGATTTCAACAAATATTTCTTACTTTAGATTCCAAGGGACTTTTAGATATTCCTGTTAAACTCAGGAGGCTTTTGAAGCCATGTGAATTGCCTAAATATTTATTTCTCTCTAGACCACTTCAGAGGTTTAGCATATACTTGGACAACACAGCAGTAACTGGTCCATCTGTGATGGAGTCATTTATTTTTAAGTCACTTTTGGTAGACTTTGTCCAGTAATAATGTTGTTCCTCTTCTAGGACCAGAAAAAGACGACTTGTGAATTTGTCATTTGGACAAAACCCATTCCTGTTTCAGTATTTAACTATTCCAATTGCTTTCTTCAATATTAATATTGAAGGTGAAGAATTAGTGGATTTTGTTCAGGATCCAAAAAGATAAAGTCATTCTGTACTGCAGGAGATCTTTTAGAAATCTGAAAAATGACCTGAAATTTATCTGTTTCGTGTGTGAAAAAGAGGAGCTTGAACAGTGGGAATAGGAGTGTGAGATCTTTGGGAGGCAAACCTCTACAATTCTGACTCTGAAACACCACTCCAAACCCCAAATCTAACATCACACTGCTGAAATAAAGGCCATTTTACTGCTGCATCTTTGTAGTTCAGCCTCATAATGTTAGGGGTCCAAATATGGGTTATTGGGACTTCCTGCAGTCAAAGGGCTGCTAGTTGCCAATTCCTGCTCAAGACAGTAGGATATATTGTATGTTATAAAGACAACACATGGTGCTTTTGGGAGAATTCTCATTAATCTTTAAAGGATATCTTTTGAGTGAGGTGATTTGTAAACTGTGTTAGATTTTTTTTGTCTATTAGAAAAAGGATAATGCATTGACGTTTTAATTTAATATTTAAAACAACAATATAAACACTGTTTTAGTCAATCTTGCCTTTTTTGTTGTGTTTCTATATAGATATTTGGTTTTTTGAGCAATTCATTGAAACTGGATTAGTTTCATCAAGGAAATATTTTAGATTCTTTCTTTTGAAGAAATCATTTGTGAACAAGAGGTGCTACCTTAAAATCACAAGTTTAAGAGACACAGCTAAGAATATAAGATCAGATACCCAAAGCAAGGGGTTTCAGTGTTAAGCAGAAAGCAGGTTAGAAATAACTTAGCTTATATGTCTTATAAAAGCAATTTGAATTAAATGTACTAAATTAGAAAATGCCTTACCATAGACTGAAGAAAGGGATTTTTAAACTTGTTTTTAGGTGTAAAGGTTCTTAATGAAAGTAATGAAATGAACAAGTCTATAATGATAGCTCTGTCAAGATGGAAGGAAAGAGAAGAAGAGGATGATCAGCAGCAAGGTAGATAGACTCAGAGTGGCGATGGGTGCACCATTGAAAGACCTGAAGGACCATGTTGGAGACTGATCATCATGGAGAAAATTTTATCTATGTGGTCACTAAGAGTTGACACCATCTTGAAGGAACATGGTCAATTCATCAAGAAAAGAAGTCTGTTTTAGAATAACATCATTAAACCTACTAGAACAATTAAATCCATTCTTACAGACAAAATACTACTCATAGCTGCTCTCATTTTAGAATATTTCATTCCTTTTGTGGCCTTCCATTAAGCAGAATATGGCATGTATGGTGAATAAGTTACTGAATTTACATTGGATAAGGCTGCAACAGGTGTGTAGTTCTCTGCTTGGAGTTCAGCTTTTTCTTTTGCAAATCCTTGTTAAATAGATAAGTCACTTTATGACTTCAGTCCACTGTTGTTTGATATCACACACAGTGTATTATGGTCCTTTATATTAGGGTTTAACCAAGTAAGGGAAATCTTGTGACGGATCACAAAGTTCAAATATAAATAACATTGTGAAGCAGTCAGTTATGTAAGGCAAATTCAAACACGTTTAATTACCATTCTCTGCTTGATCTACTTTGTGTGGGGAGTTGGATGCAGACTAAAGGTGAAGATGAATATCAGGACACACATTTGCAATAAAAAGGTATAGGGCGGGCAGATAGTAGATTTCATGAAGGGAGGACGACATGATGAATCTATTTTGCGGGGGGGGAGCTGCTTTTCCTCTAACAATACATCAAATGAAAATAAGCTCAGTTGAGGAAAATTATTGATGAGAGAGGAAGAGCTTCCTTTTGTGTTTGAAGTTGCATTTTGTTCCTTCTCTCCTTACTCCTCTTCAATGATAATTTTACCCCTGCTGAATTTGCAGTGTTATGTAGATAAAACAAAGCCTTGATGGAAAGTACGTAAAAAATTATCCCTAGAATTATTCCATTTATAGTGCTTAGCAAGGGCATTGTGCCACATTGTTTCTGCTTTATAAATAATCCATTAGGGGCAGGAGAAAGGAACAGAGTAACACCTGAAATGTTTACTGCCTAACGTTTAAATGGTATTTGTTTGAATCAAGAGTGGGCCTGCAAAAAGGAGATTCGACCTGGTGTAATGTTTGCAGCATGAAGCGATTCTCTTTTCATTCTCCAAATGTAGAACCTATTAGCATTGCTTTAAACAAGTTTAGATGGGCACAGGTTGTTTCTAAAATGTTATTGAAACTCTTTTTCCCATAATTAAAAACAGCATGCTCCTGTCAAAGTGAAATCCCATTGGTACAGATGGAATTGTTATGAAAGCATATTTCATCAATTTCACTTAAAAGCAAAATTTAGAGATCATCATATCCATTTAATCTTTGTGACAACATGTTATATAACAGGTATTTTTCATCATTATGAAAATATTTGGCTAAGTAAGATTGATTATACTGTTGGAAGACCAACAGATCAACGTGGAGAAGGTCTATTTGTGCAGTCACTAAGAACCAACACTGACTTGATGACACATAAATAAACAAATGTTGGTCATATGAGTTAACTTCTCTATAAAAATGGATTATGTGTTTGAAACAAGGAAGAGCTGTGAAAATCTGAGTCAAATGACAACAAACCACAAAGGATGGCTAGAGAATAGAAGCTCCTTGAGCAAGAGAAGCAATTCTGTAGCAGGAAAAATCTTTGGTCCCAGCTGGCCTTCATGTTCTGTGGAAATTCAAAGTGGAGACATAAAAGCAATAAATACATATTTGAATGAAAAAGTAGCTAATGAGGACCTATGAGAAGGTGTAAACGTAGGTCCCAGCTTCTTTCAAAGTAATAGTCCCACTATAGATGGAGAAGATAATGGCCAAATTTGTACCTGAGCCATCAAATTAATCTGAAGAAATAAATATGAACTGGCCAATACTACGTTCACATTGCTGCATCTTTCTCCAACCTAATCATAACTAGAACCAGGCGGCTGCTTCCAGATATTAAAGATAAACTGGGTTACATGATGTGCTTAGTTAATACACGTATAGAAGGTGGGAAAATGTATTTTAATGTAGACTCAGATTTTAATTTATGTCCTTTTGTAATGTGGGGCCAATAGTTCTAACCTTGAACTTTAAACTGGCATCCTGGATCAGGAGCATCAGCAGAATTCATATTAGTCAGCAGTCACAATGTTTCATACTCAGAGGCAATAGATGAATATCTCAGGGCTGTCACTAGGAGTCAAGCTCTACTCAGTTTAGGGGAAAAGACAAGAGGCTGAAAGGTAAGGATGTTCCGTACCTTCTAGAAGTAGGTACAACGTGCTCATAGAGATGCTTCCTACTTTTTAAAAAATTATTTGCTTCTATTCATATATCACTATATCTGTAATGAGTCTCATTTCTCACTGTCATTATCATTGTTACGCTTCAAATATGCTTTGTCTAGTAAATGTTCTGCTTAAACTTTGGGAAGATTTCTTCCCTCCTTGAATATTAGGAGTTTTTTTTTCCAGGTTGGACTTTAGAATGCAGCACTCGGTGCATTCCATAAATGTACTCAGAATTCAGTTCCATTTACTCAACAGGACTTGCACTTTTGTACATGTTCTTAGGCTAGCAACCTGATTATTGAAATGGATCAACTAATGGACTGTATGCATTAATGGGGAAAAAAATCTGTTTTTTTTTTCAGTATTTTTCAAGCTTGGCAATTTTCAGATGTGTGGACTTCAACACCCAGAATTCCCCAGGCAGCATGGGGGAGTTGAAGTCCACACATCTGAAAGTTGCCAAGTTTGAAAAACCCTGGTATAAATGATTGTAAGCAGAGAAATATAGAAGTTATTTCTCTAGCTTGCAGCTTGGAAACCTGGGCCCTTTAAATGTTGTTGGGTAGTTCTGTTTATCTATGGCATTAATTTGCCTCCCTGCAACCAGTGAGAGCTGGAATTTAAGCATCTCTAGAGCTTCACAAGGTCCTCTCTTCTGGAAGCTGCTGATGTTGGAAAGGCACCGAAGCCACTTAACCCAGACTTGTGATGTTCTCCCCCACCACCACCTTTAGTTGCTAAGCAGAAAGCAACATGGGTTTATTTCTCCTAATAAAAAGTCTTCAATCATTCCATCCCTTCTTATTTACCTGCTGCTGTTTCCTTATTAATGGGGGGGGGGGGATCTGCAAAGATCTTTAGCATTAGGATTAATGGTATAGATCTGTGTTTGTGAAGCATGAATCTTTTCTTTTATATATCTCCTCACTTTCATCAGCCTTTGTTTCAGAAGTTTAGATTTTTTTTATCCCTTCTTTATTATTTTTGTAAATAACTCAAGGTGGCGAACATACCTAATAATCCTTCCTCCTCCTATTTTCCCCATAGCAACAACCCTGTGAGGTGAGTTGGGCTGAGAGAGAGGGACTGGCCCAAAGTCACCCAGCTGGCTTTCATGCCTAAGGCGGGACTAGAACACACTGTCTCCTGCGTTCTAGCCTGGTGCCTTCACCACTAGACCAAACTATATTAATAAACGTTACTATACCTCTCTTGAGTTGTCAAGCCTTCTGAAGAGAACGCTTGCATACTTGCCATTTGAAGAAGGGCATTGTACATATACATATCTCGGAACAGCTTTATTATATGATATGCATCTAGGGACAAGATAAGATGAGGAAACAAGAAACAAAAATGTTGAAAACAAAAATAGCCCCAGAGCAGTAATGATGTTGATATGATTCAAGCATTTGTTTCCTTTCCAAGGAAGGAAGGAACAGACAGACAGCTGGTGACTTCATAGTTAGGCCTGCTAATGCTTAGGATACTGACTTAGCAGGTTTTGGTGGGTGGGGTACTGCTCTATAATCTCTAATTTAGAGAAAAAGCTGAAATCAAGTCTCTCAAGTCAAGTCTGAGTTCTGGTGATTCTTCCTCTGCACACACACCCCCACCCCGCCCAATATGGAATGCTTTGTGAATGTGTGTGTCATCCTTGCACAGATACATCCCTATTGTTTTCTTGGCAGCAATGTGGGAGTTGTCTGTCATTGGTTTGGGGGACTTTTTCCTCAATTTGCCAGACCAGCCTACAGCCTTAAGATTTCCTGATGGTCTCCCATCCAAACATTAATCAAGTCTAATACCAAATAGTTTTTTAAAGATCAGTCAGTGTTGGCTGGGTGCTTTCACTTGAATCTGTATCTAATTCTGGCCCAGGTTAATTGTTGAATTTCCCCATTCTACTACTGGCTATTGCATGGAAAACAGGAGACCTCTTCTTGAGGTTAAAAACCCTTTTAAGTGGATTTTGCTCCACATTTATATAGCACTGATAACACTGTATAGCTGGGAAACATCTTCATGCAGATAACATTTGAAGTGTTAATTATTATGTTTGCAAGGTACTTAAAAGATTTTTATTTCAAATCCAGGAAGTCTCTGATTCGGTCTTAGAGAGGAGCAAATATTCTCAACTGACTTGATTAGAAGAGAGATTGTTACCTTAAACACTACAAACAAAAGAGAGATTAATAGATTGGCGTGTTGGAACAAATCATGACTACAGCTACCGAGTCCATAAGATTCAG